ATTACTTTGCTCTTTTTAGTTGTTTCCAAGTCGATGAATAACTTAGAAATGGTCACTGCTAGTTGAGATTTAATTTTGAGGTGATCAGATTTGATACATAGATAGATAGATAACTAGGAAAATATTATTGGACATAGCCCTCAGGAAGAGTTAACCGCAGATACGTGTTTCGGACTTTCGACCCTCATCAGTACGGTGAAAGAAGTGCAAAAGATCCACCAAGTGTTGCCTACTTGGTGGAAGACGAAACAACAAATCGACAGAGTCAACAAACAGAAGCTAGCCGCACAATTGTGGTTTCGGTCAGAAGACCCTGCATTTTCAGGGCTTCAACTAACGTCACCACGGAGGCAGCTATAGCTACCTGCGTAACATCCGAGTCCAGGGGTAGAATTTTTTTTTAAATTCTGGTTCCCACGAGGGATATCCTGTAATGTTCAGAGAACATCGTGAGAACCAAGGGAAGCAAGGTAGGAATTGGTGTTCTTCATGAATTTCTGGAGGTTATATGCCTCGGGAAACATCTCCCTTGGCAATGTGTTCCAGAGCCTCGCTGTTCGTTGAATGAACGAGTCTTTGGAAAGAGATGTTCTGCAGGTCTCCAAAGTGACCACGAAGGGGTGCGAAGCCTCAACTCGACGGGTTAATCTCGCGGGATCTGCCAAGGGAGGAACAATTGTTGATATTTCAGAAGAGCATCGTACATGAAAATATCTATAAGATAGAGCCAGATCGCCAACTTTCCCACGGTGTTCCAGAGAAGTGAGTGAGTTTGTGAGCGAAGCATCCCCCACGAGGCGAATTGCCCTTTTTTGGACAAAATCCAACAGCTTCAGGGTATGTTTGGATGCTGTACTCCAAATATGGGAACAGTATTCCAGGACAGGTTGGATCTGCGCCTCATAGATCATAAGCAGCTGACTGGGAGTGAAATAGCTCCTGGCCCGAAACGGAAAACCAAGTTTTTGGGATGCACTTTTAGCAATTTATTTCACGTGATTTTCCCAAGAAAGGTTATTGGTGATAGTAATACCAAGCATCGAAATGGATGTTTTCAAAGGTATGGTTACTCCTGACAAGCTTATGTTGGGCACAGTGAGATCGGCTTTTCTAGAGAAAAGGCATGCTTGTGTTTTGTTTGCATTAAAATCTACCAAGTTATTGGATCCTCATTCGAGAATTGTTGCCAAGTGTCCATATTTATGTTGTCAACATTTCTTCCTCATCAGTGCGGCTGGCTTCTGTTTGTTGACTCTGTCGATTTGTTGTTTCGTCGTCCACCAAGTGTTACCTATATCTTTTGCACTTCTTTCACCGTACTGATAATATAAGTACAGAACCTAGGATTTCTCTCGATATGTCTGGAGGCCCAAGCGCCTCAAGCTAATCAAACCCCATCATCCAGCACTAACTTGAAATCCTGACCCCAACACGCACCGTACAACTCCTATTACCCCATAATCGACATCGCATCGATGCTAAACTCCTCCAGAGTTTCACACACACACACACACATATTATACACGTATAGAGTCACTGTAACACTACCTAACGGCCGTCTTTGCCATAGGCGTCCGCATATACGCTAAAGTTGAACTTTAGCTCCTAGGAACTAAAACGGATGTACTAGATCATCAAGATGATCTGTTCCCGATTTCGGTAGATTTGGCATTTTATACCCATGCTGAAGATATAAATACACCATATTATAGTTAAGTATTTTTGGGAAAAAGGAAATGGTGAGAGCTACAGGGAGGGTTGAATGGAGGCGAAATTGCGCAACTTCATGACTAACAAAATGCCAGTTTGAAATTTGAATAATTCCGAATGCTTCCGAAGATTTTTGGAGAACACCAACAATTATCCACTACGAGTCCACACTCGCCCCGTCAAGGTATGTTCATGCTTGTACGAATTTGGCAAAATTTATGCGAATAAAATCGCGGCTGAAAAAATCGCGATGAAGTTGAAATATTTGAACTTTTTCACGAATTCGGATAAATTACCACACAGTATGCATAAAATGTGTTGTTGTTATTTCAATAACCGAAAACAGACTTGACTAGACACTAGACTACAGGTTTTGTTAATCTGTTTAATTACTGTCTGTAGGTTAATCGAGGAGCAGATTCGGTCCCGAAACGTCCCTAGATAAGTGAACATTTGATATTTTTTCTATATACCTTTATTTCTCTTCTCCAAACTTTTTTCAATACAAATTGTCACTGACAAGCTAGTGAATTTTTCTAATTCTGTAAAAGCAGTGACATTTTGGGGCAAATCATCTGATATATCCTTACTACACGTAGGTATATTGAAATAATATTCATATTTTTATTTTTTAGAAACGAGGAGAGAAAATCCCAAAAAATTTGGAATAATGAATATAATTATAAAGTTCATTATTTCTTCATTTGATAAACATTTTTTCGCAGGATGGATTCACTGGATGATCTGTATCGTCCCTATAGATCTAATGATGTGTCCAGACGCAAAAAAAGAAGTTGTAGTGTTCGAAGCATTTTTAAATGCTGCAAAATTTATGGAGATTATTACATCCTTGTTCGAGAAATGTGACTGAATGACCCTAATAAATACATATTTCAATTACTTACGTGTAATGTGCCGTCAATTTGATGAACTTTTATCAATGGTTGGACCAGAAATAAAGAACCCTCACCTTCTGAAAATATTTTCGCATTGTTATGAACGTCAAACTGTTGGAAATTTAATATTTTGCGATTTGCATTTTTTTACGGAATTCGTACAAGCATGAACACACCTTTATGGTTACCGAGATCCCAATGACACCCCTCGAATTCGGGACTAGTGATAGGCGAATTCGAATGATTTGTATAGACTAGAGTCTAGCCATAGCACCATAGCGCAGCGCTCGCTGTTCGCTGGGCGCGAGAAACTGAAAATTTCCGGCCGATCCTGAGGAGAAACTTAATTGAAATAGCAAATCACTATCGGACTAACCAATAACTACCTCCATAGTATTTTTTCGATTGATCACTTCGAAAAAAAAAAAACGATTTGCTGCAGTAGGGATCGAACCGTTACCATGCACCGATAAAACAAGGCCAGCAGACTCTGACGTAAACAGCTCGTGACGTCGCATACTCAGGCCATCTTCCAAGGCATTCGCGTCGATCGAACGTCAGTTTGTTTTTGTTTAAGAACGGTGGCGTAGGTAAATCGCGTGTGCTCGAATTCTCTTGTTGTTTATTCATCAAAATAATTGGCGGAGAAATTACTGTTTTGTGAAATATTTCGTGTTGTGATAGGCGAAATAACAATGCCTTACAAGTGTTGTGGTCCCTTTTGTCGACGGAATTATGTGGGTGGTCCAAAAGTTCATGCTTTTAGTTTCCCGTTGGACAAGGAACTATCGAAAAAGTGGGTACATGCAATTCACCGCAAGGATTTTACGACTCCATCTAAGTACAGTGAAGTATGTGAATTACATTTTACTAAAGATGATATTATTACTTCATCTACTGCAACCGATTCAGAAACTGGCAAAACTGTAACAATAGATTTGAAATTCCTAGGCTCAAACGATATGTTATTCCCACTCAATTTCCCAACTGTCCATCTTATTTATCGAAAGATGTAAAATTACGCACAAGTCGTGATGAAAAACTTGAGATACTAGAGACTGAAAATTTGGCACAAGCACTTACCAAAAGTAAAACTGAATTCAAAAATTACCAAAAATCATTTTGCTACACAGAATTTCAAGAATTTCTAGTTGTATTAGAGTCTTTTCAGTTGCCCGAAAAGTGGTTCAAAATTATCGATTTGCAAAAAGTCACATTATTCAAATTGTCTTATTCTCCAGGGCCCGTAATTACATATTCGGTTGTGATTGATTTTGTTTTGAATGTGGAATCATTTTTGTATGACCTAGCGATACAAACATCTCTAAAAGCCAATCTGAAAACACCTTTTATCTCTAATAATATCAATCAAATCAAGGAATTACTAATCGAAATAGATAAAAACGAGATACATAATTCGGGAAAATGTCTTGATAATCAGAAAAAGAGGGTTTTGAAACATATTTCGAATGCATTGGACTCTTTGGTTTCTGACTCAATTCATTCTCAAATTTCTTTCTAAAAACGGTAATTTGCCTCGTGGCAATGAATGCAGAATTCATTCCAATGATCAAATTGCAACTATTATATTAACATGTACTACAAACACTCTACTTAAAAATTACTGTTTCAAGTCTAATGACCAATTGGGTAAAAAATCCAACAACAGGAAATTGAAAACACTCACTGGCTAATTTTTTAGGTAATAGGAATTCTCCAAGATAAATATAGGTAATTAGGTATAACGAACGGCATGTCTATCAAACTAAAATACATTTTCCCCAATGTTCTTTCGATCAATCTCATGATAAGTTTATGTTCTGCGGGCCCTGTATAAGTAGGTGTGAAGTTTACCTCTAATGAGATTGAATCACTACAATTTTTGCCAATATATTTAATTCGAATGGGTTGCTGTAGGTGGGTATTTGTGTTTTATTCTGGTTTTTGCTTTGAAACTTCGTTTTTCCATAATAAAATCGAATGGGATGCGAAGAAGGGCTCAGTTGACGGCTGGCATCCTCTTTCAACTGGAAGCCCTTAAAAAAAAGCAAAATCGGCTCAATAATGATCTAAAACTAAAATCGAAATACGCGGTCGCCTTATAGCGCTATAAGCGCTTGTCGTTTCGAGCCGCTGGTTAGGCCTGACTAAGTGACGTCACCCACGGAGCATGCAGGCCTTGTTTTATCGGTGGTAACGATCGAACCCCGGTCTACTGGGCGATGCAATTTGAACCAGCTTAGGATTGAATCGATATTCTAATGAATGATAAAAACATATGCATAGTAGCTTTCTTACAATAATTTATCTGAGAATATTCCTCATCACTAACTATTCGATTATATATGAGATTCATTCTATTATCACTATTCGAGACGCCCTGTACACAGGGGTATGCCCCCCCGGATCCCCCTCCCGCACGCCCATGCCCCCGCCGCCTTCACCGCGCCTCCGCCGTCTCTCCGCCGCCACCGCTCCCGAGCAGTCTGCCGCGAACCTTGCGCCATGCCGTGTCTCAGCGCGTCGAGCACCCCGAGGAGCGCCTGAACCGCCGCCTCCATGGCGCTGCCGCCCCCCGCGGACCCGCTGCGCGCCCCCCCGCCTCCCGAGGACGCCGCCGCCTCCGAGCAGGCGCCGCGGCGGCCCGTGTCCTACCCGTGGGGGCCCGAGAGCGACGTGGAGGTGCTCCACTACGACCCGCTGGAGGTTTGCAACAGGGACTGCGATCCTCTTGATGTGCACAAGAACAAATTCAGGTAATGGTGATTGGTGTGTACAAATAGTCCAATCAAATGGTATTTTCACTTGGAAAAATCCAAGTAGTCGGTTTCTCTGTGGTTTCATAAGTTCTTGGAGGTGCTGAATTCGAATCTGAATTTTGGGTACAAAATTTCCTGGAGCGTTCTGAAATATTCCAAAAAAACAGCAAAATTTTTGGATTTTTTTCGGTTTCTCGCTCGTAACTCGGAAATTATACGTTATATCGTTAAGACCGTCCTATAGAAAGTTGAAGTAGATAACATTTCCTGAATATAATTGTTATTATTCCAAATTTTTTGGGATTTTCTCTCCACGTTTCTATAAAATAAAAATATAAATATTATTTCAATATACGTGTAGTAAGGACAAATCGGATGATTTGCCCCAAAATGTCACTGCGTTTAAAGAATTTTCCTATCAGAGAGCCTAAAAGAAAAATTCACTAGCTTGTCAGTGACAATTTGTATTGAAAAATTTTTGGAGAAGAGAAATAAAGGTATATAGAAAAAATATCAAATTTTCACTTATCTTTGGACGTTTCGGGACCGATTCTGCTCCCGTTTTCAACATAAAGAGATTTTTTCAATTGCGAAGTCGTATTATATGTCTTAAAGCTTTTCAGTTTTCAATGACAATTGGTGACGTTGGCAATCAAAGGAGTTACAGGATGTTTCCATTAATTGATCTTGAATTTACCATTTTCATGTTCAAATTTTAGTAGTGAATACCATGTTCTGTCTATATTAACTGAACAAGAAGCAATGCTATTGTCTCCGTTCAGAAGAATGCAAGCAGATTCCTTGATTTTTTCTCTTCTGGTTGTTATCTTCTTTTCCAATGATTTTAATATTATTCCACTCTGCCATATGTTGTCCGTCTTCAGTAAGGATATGTTCAGCTAGTTTAGATTTATCGATGTTTCTTTTCTTTATATTGTACTTATGTTCCTTCGTCCTTACTGAAAGAGGTCTCTTGGTTTCACCTGTATAAAACTTTCCACAAACACAAGGTATACTGTAAATACAATTTTTTGACGATTGTTCTTAATTTTTCGGCTTTGTTTGAGTAAGAATTGATCTCATTGTATTTTCAGTTTTGAACACAGTTTTCACTTGAAATTTATCACCAACACGTTTTATTTTTTCAGATATGCCGGTAATGTATGGTACTATATTTGTAGTTATTATTGTTTGTTTTTGTCGATAGGACGATTCATCAAATTGAAAACAAACAGGGTCAACCACAACAAAAACAAACAACAATAACGACAAATATAATATTTGAACAAATTCAGGTAATGGTGATTGGTGTGTTAGATGACAAGAAAAGTACAATGCAATTTACCTACTAACAGTATACAATGTGTCCAAGATAATGATGTCTATCATGAGGATCGTTTATCTTTTTTTCTGACGTTGTTTGAAGGGATATAGAAAAAGTAAAGGACACTTCTCATTGCCACTTTTTGAGCTCTACAAAACAGCGTTGAGAGATTTGCCGTACATTTTTTTGCACTATGATAGACTTCCTTATCCCTTTTCAACTTCAATATCGGAATCGGTAAGTTATATTCCGGAAAAAGTTCGATTTCAGAAATGGTAAACTCAATTTCAGAATCGGTGAGATGAATTTCAGAAAAAGTCCATTCAATGGACCAGAAATGGTCAGTTGTATTTCAGAATTGGTAGGTACAATTTCAGAAAATAAATCCTTATATTTGCTTGAAATGTTTTTAATTGCATGTGAAATTAACAAGCTATATTTACAATATTTAACTTTTCGAAAACAATTCAATAACATAATTATAATCTCAATTCAATCCACAGATATGTGTTCCATCCGAATCGCAGAAGGATAGTGGCGTTGCACATAATTATAAGAATGCAAACACATTTGAGGTGTTATCATTCTCATTGAATGATCTGCACATTCTTCAAGACATCGCAGTCTGAATTCTATCTGGTTGAGCAATCTGTTTTGATTCCCAGCTATGACCCTTTGGCGATGCTCTTGCAAAAAGCTCTTCATTTCTGACTTTTGAATTCTTCCTCCATGCATATCTCTTCTATTCTTGAATGTGCAGGTGCATTATCCAGAACTACGACTATAGTATCTGCAGGATGCTCATTTCGAACGCACGCTCTCAAACACCGTTTCATCCATTGTAAACAATCTTCTCTTTTGCAATTAAAAACATTTCAAACAAATATAAGGTTTTTTTTTCTGAAATTGAACCTACCAATTCTGAAATACAACTTACCATTTCTGAAATTGAATGGACTTTTTCTGAAATTCATCTCACCGATTCTGAAATTGAGTTTACCATTTCTGAAATCGAACTGACCATTTCTGAAATCGAGATTACTTTTTCCGGAATATAACTTATCGATTCCGAAATTGAAGTTGAAAAGGTATAGAACACACTGCATATCTAACATCACAACACTAATATGAGCTTCATAATGAGTTACTTCATCGTACTAGTACAGTAGATTATGAAAACATTTCCTACTTATTGTTGTATTCGATTTTAAATTTTGAATATCCCGCCATTCTCTTTGAATTATATTAGACTACATCTTAGGTTAGTCACAGTTTTATGTTCCATGTCAATATGTCAATATTGTCAATGTATGTTCTGTGTTTCATGATGAGGAAGAGGTACAGTTTTTTCAAGAGAAACACTCTTGTTCGCCATTAGGTGAAAGACAAAGCGTTTACCAGAGAAATTATGTTTGCCCACAAATTTATTATGTTTTATTAAAGAGTGGTTCAAAAACTATTCATTTTATTATTGGACCGCCTCATTATTTAGAATTTCAGTTTTATAATCATGAAAGAAACAGGAACGGATTTGCATAGAGGAAAATCTAGTTATTTGAGACACGAGTTGAAACGTTTTCAACGTGAAACATATTCCCCTTTAAAAACAATCTTCTTTTTCTAGAAAGGTGCCTTTCTAGATACTATATCGGATACAATACAGTTGAAAGTTGAAGAAGAATCGTACAAATTCCACCAATAAACAAAAACCTTAATTACTGATGTACTGGGGTAGGAAAAAACACTCCAAACATCGCTAAAATGAAGCCCTCTAATGACCGACTAAAATAATTCGAAATGGATAACGCCAAAAGACACTGGACGACTTGTTCGGAATAGTTAATGAAACTAATCAGAACCTTTCCACTGAAATCGATAACTTCGATTTGAAGACGTTTTTATATCAGTAAACAGTGTAAACACTGATAAATGCTGACAGTAGAATAGGAAACCTAGAAAAAAACAACTTCCTCTTAGGAAAACAAATGTTATTTGCTGAAAGGAAACTGAGAAAACAGAATCTAATCCTTAACGATTTGAAAAAAAAAATAGAGCGATAAGCACACAAGATCAATCAACTTCCACTCCAACAATAATCACAGAACATCTGGAAATTCCCATTGAAAAGTTCAATATCACCTGAGGATATCACGGAATGGGCAAGACAAGAAGATAAAAATAGCACTAACCCAGTGTTGATCAAATTCCACTCCTTCATATAGAAGGCAGAGGTTCTCACAAGCGCCAAGTACTTGAAGAATCAAGAAATCTATGTTTTTTTTTGCAATTGCATACCTCGTTGGTCCCAGCACTGGGATCAAACGCCCCATAAGTCGAAACTTGTGCGGGGTTAGGTATACATACAAACACAAACATCCATGGCCTAACTAGGATTAGAACATATGTCTCGGTGGGAGTCCCCATACGAACTCAGCGCCTTCACGCTCTCGACCACCGAGCCGCCGAAAATCTTATTATAAAAAAGGACCTAAGTGATAGATAAATATCAATAAAACATAAAATGACAGCAGCTAGAAGTAGAGAAAAAATAGCTACAATAAAGAGAACTAGATTCAAATAGAAGGAACCCTATATAGTGCAGAACAATAGCACCCCTAGGAGCACCTGAACCTGAAGGCGCCGTGGCAGCCGGTGGTGGCCCGAAAGCGTCGTGGAGGTGCTCCACTATGACCCGCAGGAAGTCCGTAGCAGAATACTAAAAAATCACAGTCTAACCCTTCAAGGATCACAAGAAAATACATAGGAAACCACACAAGATCTATTAAAACCAACTAAAATAATAATCACATCTTAAGAAAAATTCTCATTGAAAATCAGCAGGAATGGAAGAATAGAGTTATAGACCCACCTGTGTTAATCGAATTTCACTTCTATAACTTCTTCTCCTTTGTTTTTCTAGCAATATTTGTTAAATTCTAAACATCGAATATGCTCATTATAGCACACTTCACAATTGCATTTCAGAAATCTTCATAATTTTCTGAATTCTATGGTACCTCACAAATGATATTTCATTGGACACTTACTCTATTTTTCAATCTCTAGAGAGCCATGAACCCCCGAAATAATTCTAAAACGATGAAAATGTTGCCACATTATCGCAATTTCTATTAAGTATTGATTATTGAATTTATTACTCTGTTACTATTAAAGTATTGTGGTGTAAAATACTTGTCAAAAAATGAACAAAAATCGTTGGAAACTCTATTTGATTTAGATGATATCAGCATATCTCAAAAACTGTAAGAGCTATCAGGAAAGAAGACAAAAGTCTTGAAACTTCAACGCTCTCTAGATCGGTAACGAAGCGTTTGCGTTTGATACTGAATTTCGAAGCAGAAAAATATTAAACCGTTCTTGAGTAATGACATAAAAAAAGGAAGATATTGTATTTGCAAATTATTACAATTCCCACTATCTCTTTATTTTTCCTGTAGTGTTCAGTTAAAATAAAATTTGATAGAAATCGCAGTTGTTGGAATGGTTGGTTGCTATGGAAATGTCCATAATAATTATAGTTTGACAATTATTGAAATTTCTGAAAGTTGTACGAAAAAATATCGGTATATTTAAATTATTATATAATGGACACTGATAGCGACCTGAAAGTACTTACTCCCCCAGAAATAAGGGAGGTGGCAAAAAATATAGAGTTGAATTTGTTGCCGGAGAAGTCTCGGATGAAATATGAAGGAAATTATAAACGATTTATGGACTATTGCATGGAGAAAAATGTTAAAAGTGTTATGTAATAATTGCTAATAAATGTTTTATTCCCATTGAGTATAATCACTTTGCTGCCTAGGCAGGAAAAGAAATACTTTGCTGATTGATATGTGTCAGCAAAATTAATATTTGCTGCCAATCGGAGAAAACCGATTTTTTCTTGACATTTCATTACCCTATTGCTCGAAAGTCAGGAAGATTAGGACATAATATGTTCATTTGAACTCTTCTTCTTAAAATGAGCTGAGCAACCATATCTTCTAATTTTAGCCATCAATTGTATTACACCCTGTATATCTACCGTTTCCAGTGTGGAGGTCCTCCAGAAGAGGAACTCCGACCCGCTGAAAGCACCGCCGAAGCCCTGCCCCAAGACGCAGGTGCGGCCGTTCACGAAACAGTCGCTGGAGAAGCTGCAGAAGAAGACCGTGCAGCTGGTGCGCGAATACGGCTTTCAGCCCAGAAGGAAGCTGAGCGTGGAGGACGGGTCCAGGCTGCCGGCGAAGTTCGAGCCGTTTCCCGCCAGGCTGTACGGGCGGCCCTTGGAGGAGATCGACAATTTCATTTACGATGAGGTGAGTGGGAATTTCACGTATTAGGGCCATAGGGTCATTCCATGTCCGTCCGTCCGTCTTCCGTCAACGCACTATCAGACGAATTTTGCTTGGTCTCAAAACGAATAAGGCTAACGGTCCTGATGGAATTCCACCCATTATCCTCAAAAAATGTGCACCAGAATCAACACCGATTCTCTGCAAGTTGTTCACCGTCTCGTACAGGTCGAGTATTTTTCCATCATGCTGGAAGACAGCTACAATCCAACTAATCCCCAAAAAAGGGAACAAGAACCTGCCCAACAACTACAGGCCCATTGCCCTGTTATCAGTAATCTCCAAAGTGATGGAGAAAGCCATCAATATTGAGCTTACCAAATATCTGGAGACCTCAGTAATCATAAATGATAGACAATACGGCTTTCGCCACCAAAGATCTACTGGAGATCTAATTGCTTACGTCACCCATTTATGGCAAGCTTCATTGAAAAAACACTGGGAATCTCTAGCTGTCGCGTTGGACATATCGAAAGCATTCGTGTTTGGCACGAAGAACTCCTCCACAAACTACCATCATACGGCTTACCACCTCAGTTATGCCATCTTTTATCGAGTTTTCTTTCAGGCAGATCGCTTCACGTGGTGGTGGACGGTGTATCGTCTGATACCATTGGCCTCAATTCTGGCGTTCCACAAGGATCAATTTTGGCACCAACATTATTCCTTCTTCATATCAATGATCTGTTGGGAGTAAGAACGTGCCCCATCCACAGCTTTGTAGATGATAGTACCCTCCATACTGTGTTCTCTTGCTGAAATCACAGCCTAGGGAACCAACAACCTAGTTGAATTCAACGTCACCAAAACTCAACCCAGTATTTCCTCTTGAAAGGCGGAACTCAGTATGCCCGATATTGTAATGTCTGGCACCACCATCCCCACCAAGCCCACCATATCTATGCTCGGTATTTCCATCAGCAACACTCTCTCATGGGATAATCATGTCAGATCCATCGCAAAAGCTGCTTCACATGATCTACAAAGCGCAGATACGGCCTGTTCTAGAATACTGTTACCACATATGGGGTTCAGCACCAAGACATACGCTGATGCTCTTAGATTCCATCCAGAGAAGAACCATTCGCCTAGTGGGTGACGCCACACTCACTCACCCTTTGACATCATTGGAACACCGTAGAAAGGTCGGCGACCTTTCACTTTTCTATCGATACTTCCACGGGAAATGTTCTTCGGAAATCTCTGCTATCATCCCTTCACTAGCAATACCAGTCAGACGAACTAGACAAGCCCAGTAACCTCGAAAGATGTCGAACAGCACTTTATCAAAACTCCTTCATTCATAGAACGGCTAGGCTCTAGAATTCATTGCCTGAGGAAGTATTTCCAACAACATATAATCTCCAGAAGTTCAAAAAAAATTCCAATAACTACCTCCTGTCCCTATCCTCCCTAGGAACGCACGATGTTCTTTGAACATTATTGGGATTTCCTTTCGTGCGCTCCAAGCGATAAAAAAAAGGAAGTGAAATAGTAACTCCACGAGGGCGTAATTACCTATACTAACTATTGAAATGTACTATAGTTTTCTTATGACTACATTATACTTCCTTCAGGATAGTAGATTCATGTATAGTGGTGTACCACAAGGATCTGTACTAGGCCCAGTTCACTTCTTGCTATACATTGATGATATAACATCTATTGACATTAGTGGAACATTCACGATCTTTGCTGACGATATAACACTTTTGTGGAATAACCGTGATGTGAATGACTTTAATAGGATTGTACGAATTCAATATATACACGTCAAAAAGATCACTTTTATATTCCGTTTAGTAATACGAAAATTCATTATGATTCTTCTATAGCAATGGCTTCCCGAATTTATAATTTATTACCTGATGAAATGACGGCTCGGTGGTCGAGAGCGTGAATGCGCTGAGTTCGTATGGGGACTCCCACCGAGACATAGGTTCGAATCCTAGTTAGGCCATGGATGTTTGTGTCTGTATGCTCACCTAACCCCGCACAAGTTTCGACTTATGGGGCGTTTGGTCCCAGTGCTGGGACCAACGAGGTAATGCAATTGCAAAAAAAAATGAAAGGAAATAACAAATTTTTCAGTTTCAAAAGATCATTGAAGGATTTCCTAGTGTGAAAATGTTTCTATTCTATAGGGAAATAGCTAAAAATGCACTACATGTGAGTTTTTAATGTATTTTAGTTGTATAACTGTTTATGATGTTACGAATTCAACCATTTTACATTATTAGTTTTTTCCATTCTTCGTGATGATAGTATTTATGATCTCAAAGTGTACCAATTAGAAAAAATAGTGTAAAGTATTCGTAGAAAACTTGAAAACACTTGCGCGTGTTTCAGAGACCTTAATATACACTTATACTATAATATACCATTTCTCATTCTTGTGTGTTGCGGAACTCGCGCTTCAGGCTTCTATTACAATCTTCTACACTCGTCAGAAAAGTTGAACTTTTCTCACTTGTACTGCAATATACTATACTTAGTTGAAATCCAACTTGCGTTCGGAATAAGGCATTTCAAACGTGTTGTAGCCTATACTTGACTTTCTCTAACTAGATTTCATGAACACATACCACTCCTCTCCTCCGGACTCGGGCTCTTTCGCCAAAATATAAAAATAAACTCCTGCAATTTTTAGATAAAACGCTTTACTGCAAAATTATCGGTTATAATTGCACAAGTGCATAAAAATTACCGATACTTTTGCAAGAAAGCCTGTCATCTAAAAATTGCAATAGTTTATTTTCATATTTTGGCGAAAGAGCCCGAGTCCGAAGGAGGAGGACTCTTTTACGTGCTTTTACAAAATATATTATCAAAGAACACCAAAGATATTTTTTATTTATATCCACAGTTCATCTCACACAATCGCCAATAGTGATATTCTTTCCCAACTGAAATATTTCACTTGAAACTGAACTGAATCATATAATATGCATTCTCTCAAATGACGTTTATTCAGTTCATTGCATGTTAGCTGATTCAGTTCAGTTCAAGTGAAATGTGTCAGTTCTTTCAGAACGAAAGAATATCACTTATGTCGCCATATCAACTTCCAACAATAAATGAGCGTCAGTAGTGTTTTATTATTGCTGTTCAGAGTGATTCAATCAACCACAGAACAAACAATGAATTGTGGGCGCGCACTTACCCCAGGAATGCACTTGCCCCAACTTAGTTGAAATTCAACCTGCTTGTCGTAGGCTCGATTTGGCGCGAGGGTTACTGCTCGCGAGTTTGGAATAAGTCATTCCAAAATACAAAAAAAGACGTTGAGAAAAATAGTTGTAGTTTGAAAGAATTCAAGGTGCTCGAATTTCGCTGCATGCAGGCACCTTTGGGCCCTAATTTCAAGGCGAATATTGCAATTAGCCTAATTGACAGAAAATGCAAACATTCTGGTCTGCAGCCTTCGTGAGAAATTCCTAAGTAGTCTGGTAAACAGACACAAGCACCGGCACCATTCTGGTCTCTACACAAGGCGTTAGCCCCGCATAGGGATGGTTAACGAGGGGATGTTATCTCATCCCTCATTGGCAGTGGCAAACTGCAGTGACTAAATGGAGTTTGATGTTTCACAAATGCTATATAGGAAGTGTATTCCCAATTGTTGTTTTCGATTGCGAATGAGTACACCATAATCATTAATAGGAGTCCTGCAGAGGTGGGAGGGAAAATCTTCAGATGAATTCGAGATGAAATACTATTTTATTGCTCTTCATTGAGGAGCTAGATTTCGACCAATGTTCATAAGAGCTTTGATTTTTGAAATATGACAAGGAAACATCTCCTGAATTCTTGTTACGTAGATACTTAGAAATAACCTACAATCAACAATCTAAGTACATATGCGATTTTAAAGATGATCTAGGACGCTAAATAGATATGGAAGTATCTATTGTTCTTTGAAATATCGTAGTAGACTGCAAAGTGACGAGAAGTGACTGATATGGGCTTTGGAGTAATGGATGAGAACAATGCACCACCGCATACCCGTACGAACAGCTATTTCGAATGTCGTGAATTCCAGGGGAAAGTTAGACGATTTGTATGCTCCCAGCCAAATCAATGCGGCATTGTTGGTTATATCAACATCTCGACACTCTCAGCACCAATTTCACCGCGTTTCGCGTTGAATTTCCAACGAATAACGTTTTCGCTAACACGAGTTCTCGATTAAGCCATCATGCGGATTTTGTGTACATTCCTTTGAACAGATTATGTCAAGTTGGCCGGAGGGCAATTCCAAATAACTAAACGTGCACGATTCGCTATAGGGGGGTTGATGCAGGCAGCCCTTCTGCTTCAAAAACCTCCGGGATCATTCTGGAATGCGGAACACGTCACAGAGAAAATTTGGTCTGTTTGGTCTGAGTTACCAAGTAATGTGTTAAAATTCAGATCGTGAAATGAACGATCACTATACCGTTGGGTAAACTTGGGGTACTAACCCCGAGAAGTTGTAAGACTAAAAATTCAGTACGGAGGAGCTCTGTGGTGGCCAGGCTCAGAAGCCAGCACAATCATTACTCGAAAGCTGAGTTAAGTTCAGAGGATGGCCTGCCTGGTGATTACAGGAGCAATGAGGACGATGCCATTTGCTATGACTCAACTTGCAAAATCGTCGTGGGTCGTATTGTTGTTCACTTCTTATATTTTGTGAGATACCGGAGAGAAACGAAGGAAATTGATTTGTAATGAAGACATTCATTTTTGAGAGCTAAAGCAATTAGAGTAAATAAAAAACTGCAGCTCTGGAGGAACTGCTGGGGCTGCCGCCGCTTCCAATAAGGATTTATAGGGAAGCAATGGCAGCCTATCTCAGAATGCGGGACTCTGGCAGCTGGATTAACGAAGGAACAGCAACAATTCACGTGGAAATTGCGAAATTGGTGGATTGTAGGAGATCCATATCTCCAACCTAAGAGCGAAGAACGCTCAAAATAGTCTGA